ACCCAAAACCCGCTTCCTGAATGAAGTTCCGGAAGGCCAGTGAGACCCTCCTCTGCCATTGACACCTCCCCCCGCAACTCGCCAGGAGGGTGGCCTTATTTGCGTATTTCCCCCGGGCGATTTCCTTCCTCACCCCTCTTCGTAACCACCTTCCATGCGCACCTCAACCGTCTGCCAACCATACGCTAACCACTTGCCAACCACTACTTGTCTCAACTACCTACCTGACTATCCCGTCCGCAGTGCCGTGAGGCGCGCTCCGATGCCCAGCGCCAAGGCGAGGGCGTCAAGCGGCTCCGCATGTTGCTGGCTCAGGCCAAGGCCCTACTCAAGGAGCAGGGGGTGCCGTTCATGGAGGATGACCCGGGTCTGGATCTGCTAGCAGCTGCTGGTCCGGGAGGGGGAGGAGGAGGAGGAGGAGGAGGAGGAGGGCAGGGGGGAGGCAAGGCGGGCGGCAAGTCGCTGCGACCCGCGTCGTCGGCTTCAGGTGCTGCTTGTGTGTGGGGGGAGACCTGTAGCGGGGGTTGGTACCCTGGGTGGCCGCCGGGTTGAAGGTGGAGTAGGTGGTGTGTTGGGTAGGGTAGTAGGGAGAGGATTGCGAGGATGGTTGAGTGGGTGGGTGGGTGGATGGGTTGCATGCCCTCCCTTGCCTGCTGGCCTGATCGCAGATATCTGGAACTTTCGCGTGCGCTATCCGACTTTGACGGTCTCGACATGTGCCGGATTTGCGTGTTGGTTCGCGGCCTGATTCTCCGTCTTTGCTTTTAGTTCCGCTGTGCCTCGCTGAGGGAGGCTCAGTGAGGAACGAGCTATGGCCCTCGCGCTCCCCATTGCGCAGTTAATACATACATACGTACGTACGCGTGTGTGTGTGTGTCTGTCTGTATTAATGCACATAACGGTGCGCGCACAATTAAAACCCATAATTTTCCTTCCCCCTCTAATACTTTCCTCCTTTCTTCCCTCCAGATGATGATGATGATGCATTTCCACGTCTTTTTCCCCCCTCCCTGCCCTTCGTGCACCTCTTTGCACAACCACATTCAGAGTCCGATGCCCCGCTGTTCAAGGCGCTAGACGCCCGAGAGCGGGAGAAGGAGACGCAGCGGCTTCAGTCTGAGGTTATGGACCTCGCCGCACAACTGGCGGCCGCAAATAAGGAGATCAAAAAGATGCGCAAGGCGGCGACGGCGGCGGCGGATGCGGCGGTGGCGGCAGAGCGGGAGCAGCGGCTGCAGTTGGCGTCGACGATTGAGGGCCTGGCGGCGGAAGCGGAGGCCGCCAAGGACGCGGCACGTACGGCACAACGGCAGTTGCAAGAAGCCAAGCACGAGGCGGGCGACTTACGACGCCAAATTGCGGAGCTTAACGACAAGCTCACGCGGGCGAAGCTGGATGGGGAATATNTGCGTGCAAGGGCGGCAGCAGGCAAGATGAAACCCAAGCTGAGCCACGCCCGCGCCCTCAGCATTAGCATCAGTGCTTCTGCGCCAATTGTGGGCATCGTAGTGGGTAGATTAGGACCATGAGATCCTCGTCCACCGGATGCGCCAAGGGCAGGGGGGGTCGGTAAAGCTGGATGGCATCGCCATGATGAATTCAGGAGGACAAAAAGCTGCGGACTCTGCAGGGAGAGGCCGGTAGAAGGGGAGGCCGCTGCCGGGTTACAGCGACTGTGAGGTGGGGCACTTCACCGTGTGTGTGATGTATAGAGTGCGTCCGCTGGGTAGGGTAGGGTAGGGTAGGGTAGGGTGCACTCTTTCTTAAACGGATGTCCATCCGGGACTGGGCGATGCAAAGTTCACCACCCTATCAACCACTTTTTTGTTGGTCTGGTCCGACATGTGTTTTAAGCTGGACCGCATTAATGAAGAAGGTATCAGGGTATGCCATCCTGGCATGGCCCTTGGCTCTCGGTTGGCTGCGGACAAATGTGGAGTTCTCAAACTAGGGCCGCATGAAGCCAGCTGGTCCCCCTGACAGCGACCGGCAGATCCATCCTTTAGATGGTGTGACATTGCTTGTACCCTTCATAAAGTCCTCTTTCTGTTCGCAGCTTTGCCCCGCGGCCGACTATATGCATGCACACTTGTCACATCATTTTAGGGTCACGTCCATTTTATCGTCGCATCACGCGCGACACACTGAGGACCGCTGAGCAAACCAACATCCCCCCCTCATAATAACACGACGTGGTTGAGGACCTCTCCTTGGCGGACCCCATGCGAAATTCACCCTATATATACACTTACGGCGCCACAAAAACGACCTCCCGTACCGCGCTGGTGGCGGTGGTGGTGGTGGTGGTAAAGGCAATTGCAGGTGCCGCCAGGTCGGCTTTGTCAGCCTCACCATCAGTGCAGCCGTACGCACGGGGCAGGCTCATGGGGATCTCTCCTGCTTTTTCGTGTGCTTGGTGTTCATGTACGCGCCAGTGCAGTACGTTGTGTTGCTTGGTGTTGTTGTGTTCAGTTTCCTCCTCCAGCCATGTCTTCGACGTCCGAGTGATTTTGTGGAGTTATCGCAGCATGTGGTCCTTGCGCTTGCGCCACTTAAAAGGCAAATACTGGCAACAAGCAAAACGTGTCTGGGCGTGCGCGTCTAAAGCTTGTCTGGGCGCTCTTGTCTCGTTACTTCATTACCCCGCGAAGGCGCAACCCGCCCGCCATGAAGCGGCCGTTGCCAAGCCCTTCTCACTCCAACACACCCAGCCTGCCCACCATGAAACCTTGTCTGCCAGTCCCCCGGCGAGATATGGGCGGGATGTTGAGTTAGGTAACCAAGTGGCCGCAAGCTTGCAAGTACTGCCGCTGACACGTCCTCTCCTGCTGCACAAGCTGCCTGGGCAGCTGCCGTGCAGCGGCGGCTGAACCATGCACGAGCATCCTTAACTAACGTATGTAGTTGCTGCTTATGCCAGATGTCGTACATAGTACCTGGTGTAGGAAAGGTGTTGATCAAGTAGAGAGCTTCATCAACGGGCACCTGTCCTTTGTTGAGTCGGAAGCGTGCACGCAGAATTTGCATTGCACGCAGCGCCCCCCGCTTGAAGGCAGGGAACTCCTCGTGTCGAAAACGGAGCATGGTGGGCCCCGACCACGAAGAGTCTGTATTCTCCATTTCGGTATCGCTGTACCAAGGGCTGATGGAAGGGTTTGCTTGGAAGCGGAAACTGCTGAGGTACCGAAGTTACTGCTGAGGAGGCTCGGCTGTGTAGCCGAAAAGTTGGTCCTAGCTCTGAATCAGGCGAGTGGCTGTGTTCACTCTCTGCTACTTCGGCTGCATCCACTTGCTCCAAATCACCGCTGCTGCCTGTGTGCTCGACGCGTGCTTCTGGCGCGAGGCTGTTGCTCAACCCTGATGCAGTACCGGAGTACTCAGGGTTCTCAAGCCACAGCACCTCCTGGGTGAGGCTGCTGCTGCTGCTGAGCAGGGAGGGGCGGACCCTTCACTCCCTTCACTCCCTTCACTCCCTTCACTCCCTTCACTCCCTTTTTATGCTTCGCGTGACCTTTCCTAGGGCGCGCTGGCGCAGTCGAATGCTCGATGGACCCTGGGGGCCGAGCTGAGCGGTGGGGATTGACGTGACGTAGAGAGTCCGCCAGCGCTCAAAAGATGATGAGACCCTTACAAGGCTCTAGTGAGAGCGCAGTGTTCAGTGATGTCCGGGGACACTATCTCACTGATGAGTCTGTATGGCCGGAGCCTGTGTGCACGTACGATAGTCCTGGGACACACACCAACACTCGGAGCGCTTGGTGGCTGAGTACGGCAAAGATTAACAGTTCTCCAACAGCTGGGGCTCGGCACACGGATGCACCAATAGAGCCACCACTAGCTGGTTCCACACTTAATATAATCACACAAATGTGCCCCATGGGCGCGTGGAGTGCCAGACAACACCCAGGAGCTCGGAAGCTCCACACTGAAAGGGGTGCTTCGGCTACGAATCCTGACTCACTGCTAGCCAAATCAACCACGCCAAAAGCTCACAAGCTGGTTTATAATAGCAGCCTTGCGGCAAAGAAAAATAAAAACGCGACAAGTACGGCACTGATGCCACGAATGGCTGCCACCGGTAGTACCCTTAATGCTCAGATCCAGTGATTAGGTACGTTGAAGCACCCTGCAAGCTTGTACCAAAGATGCGGCGTAAAATAGCTGCGGTAATTGTACAGCCGCAGCTCGGCCGTTCTCCCTTCCCTAATGTCCTTTTCGTTAAAGATTTGCTCCAGTAAGCGCATAAAAACTACTCTCCACACTTTCGTGCAGCGGGAGCGGAACACCCTTCTCGTCAAGAATTTCCACCTCCGGCTGCTTCCCCACGACCTTATATGGGAGATCGCTGAATTGCTCTCCCCAGTGATGTACAGGATCAAACTGCTTGTTCCGCACAGAGTACACCCCCTTGCAATCACGCACCGCCACACCACCCGAAACCAAATCCTGCAGTACCGTAACTACTTTGACAGGACGGGGCCGGTGGAAGCAGCCGTTGAAGACGGAGGCGACAAAGGCCTCCGCACCTATGTAGATGCGTTTGTCGTCTTGCGTCGCAGCGTCCTTGTAGCCGACTAGTTTGACCTTGGGTTGAGGCGTGGGCTTACTGGGCCACTGTACGGTCTCGGAGGTGGTGTTTGACGAATGGAAACGCGGGAGAGGTGCTGGTGCGGGGGACGATGGTCCTGAGTTGAAGTTGTCGTCCTCAGGCTCCTGCTGTGCGTAGACAGCTCCGGCAAGTTCTTCGTCTAGTAAGTTGAGCGAAGGCGACGACTCCCTGAGCTGTTCCCAGATGCTCAGGGCCTGCTGCTGCGCAGATGGGTCGTACTGAACTCCTACCGAAGTGCCTTTTTCACGGTATTGATTCCCGCCACCGCACTTCTGAGTGCCGGCGGCTGCTCCAAATA